GGGCCAATTTCATCTTTTAGTCTCTCTCTAGACAACAGCCACCTGCCCTGGAGTGGAATTGACTCAGGGAATGCCTTGAGGGTATAGAAATCACTTAGAAATTAAAAGGATATTGAATTTTTGCTTTGCATTTTACTAGGGTGCTCCATGTCAAAACTGTTCACTCCTTTAGAATGAATTCTTAAGTACTGGTAGAGTCTCGATTCCACATATTAAAAAGAACAGTTTACTATTTTTGTGCATCCGTTCATAGCCTACCTACATCTTACATCCCAAGACGCAGCACAGAGGGAAGTATTGATTATGCTGCTATTTCACAACTAGAATTGTACAGTAAGAGAGGAAAACTGATCAAAATGCAGACTTTATTGATATTAAAAATAATCCTTACTCATGTTCAAAATGTAAATGTAAGCAATTGGAAAACCAGACACCTCTAGCCCTTAAGGCATCACTATCACTGAGTGGAGACTACTCTTCATCAACCTTTGGAACCTGAGGATGAAGTTTCCAAGACAACTTTAATCAAAGAATTGCCCACCACTACTGAGTCCAAGGCCTCCCCTATTCGCCCTTTGAGTCTTGACGATGGAGCTCCTAAGCCAGACATAATTGAAGTATCCATGAGTTGTACCCATTTTCAGCTGATTTTGTGCAAGCTCCTCAAGGACAATATCCCTTACAGGATAAGAATTACTTATAGTCATGTATTGTTTTCTCTCAGTGATGTAAAATAGATCAGGCAAAATCTAGAAAAGTTTTCAGATGACCCTGGTAAGTACATTGAGGTCTTTAAAGGACTCATTCAGACCTATGAACTAGACTGGAAAGATGTAATACTTAAATCAAACATTGATTTCTAATGAGAGACAATGGGTACAGACTTTAATCTGTGGATTTCTTATGTGTATTACAGATACTTGGGCATACATATTTTGAGAGTGGATTTAAATAGAGCCTGGCCAGTAGTGCTATTGAGGAAAGTTACCTAGGTAACTGGATACAGAACTCAAAATATCTTGAAGATGCTTTTACCCAGGGTTGAGATTTCTCCTGGACTGTTACCTGTCTCTGTAGGTGCTAGATCTCCTTTGCAGGCTTGGATTTTAGAACTTTTTGATTCAGAGTCATTTATTAGAAAGTAAGCCCTAAGAGCTGGGAGTGTAGCTCAGTGGCAGAGCACTTGCTTAGAATGTAAGCCCTAAACAGTGTAGTTGAACACTTTCATTTTCTCACTTTCTTTCAAACACTTAAAAGCAGCAATTCAGGGGCTTTGATTATTAGTTTATTTTGTGCTTGGCAATGCAGTTGGAGTCAGTCATGGCTTTCGCCTCTGGAGGCATGTTTTGCTAAGGATGGGAGACTCACCCAAGAAAAGTTCTTGATCTTAGTAATTGTTTGAACCTGAAACAGTTAGGAGTTAGCTCTTGTGCCATACTTAGATTCACTCTTCTGTCCCTTCTCCACTGTCCAGCCATTCATTAAGCAGCTATGAGTAGTTAAGCAGTTTCTCACCTAACCATTTCCAGCAGAACTCCATTCATATGGGAAAATCCAAATTTCTTATGTTAGAAAACATTCCTCCTAAGCTAGTTAGTCCCAGTCTGTCTCTCTGGCTCCTTTCCCTACCACTGCCAGAGTCACTTCTTACCTTTTCCTAACAAATATGTTCCTTTCAGCTCCTGCTTTTGGTCAGGTTTTGTTTCATGCTGAGTGACCTTAGTGTTTCCAGGGCTGCCTGCATCATTACTGGTCCCTGGAAGCCCATCTGACTTCTCCAGGTATTTTGGCAGCTCCCTCCTCTGTATGTACAAGGTTTTGTATTTTTGCCTTGACTCTTAATCCTTGCCACTGCCCAAGAGCAAGTGTGCATCTTATTCTTTATTCCGAGAGTCTTTGCATAATAGTAATGCTCAATACTCTGAATGGATGAATGATGTACATTTCTTCTGTATTATTCCTGTGCTCTTCTAGTCTTTAAATTCTATTAGCAAGGATGCAGACTGGAGGTATTTTTAACAAAGAAACCTTCCCTTTCCAGTTTCACTGCTTCTTCTTCCCATCCAGACTTTTCTATTTCTCTGTCAGCACTACTAGATGATATGGATGATGATATGCATGATAAAACATCCAAGACTTTGATTTCCTTCTGTTCTTAATTTTCATCCCGGACTTTATAAAGGTTTAATAAATAAACACAAATTCTCTCTTGGCATCAGTCTACAAGAGGATTGGATTACAGGTAACAAACAGGGGAGGGGGAATGTCAAGATTGTGTGGGATGGAAAATGCCTTTCAGGCTTTTGGAGGATAATTACCTGATCCTCTGGCTTTGATCTTCAGGATTGCTTTAGAGCAAGGTATTAGCTTTAACCAGTTTGCAATCCTGTGCCAAGAATGTAGGGCAAGAAGCTGCACTGACAAAAAAGACTAAGAACAACAAATTGTAGTCAGAGTCAACACAACACTAGGAGATGGGTTTTTCTCCAGCAGGAATGGGAGGGAGACAGGAGCAGCCATGGCTGTGATGCAGAGGAGACCCTCCCAACCCCCCACATCACCACATGGTTAACCAGCTTCCCTGCAGCCATAGCCTCTGCAGACTGAGAAGACCCCACCCAGGATTTCCTAAAGGTGCCTGCTGTGGACCCCGGAGGATGATCACCAGGAGCAGAGTAGGCCCAGGGCAGAAGGGGTGGGAGTCACATACTGCAGGGTATTGTGAGACTGAGATGCCCAGTTTCCTTTTTGCTTTACTCCTTTTGTGTGTGTGCAAGTGTGTGTATGAGTGTGTGTGTGTGTGTGTGTGTGTGTGTGTGTGTGTGCGCGCAGTACAGGGAATTGAGCTCAGCTTTGCACATGCTAAGTACATACTGTATCACTGAGTTCATTTCCAGCCATACATGCGGTTTCTAAGCACTCCCCATCCCTACACTGCATGCACACACACATACACCTTCCTTTGAGGGGCCTTTCAATCATTTCATTGCTTGTTGCAGACACAGGCAGAAGGTGGTAGTTACCAGGTTTACAATATGGTTGGATTTAACACAACTGGGATGGGAGAGAAAAAATAAGCATTTTTGATAGGCATCAACAGCCAAACCACACCGAATGAAGAAGAGACCTCCTTAAAGCCCAGCACAAATTAATCTCCTCTCTTTCACTCCTAATTTCTGAAGTCTTTAAACACCTCCACTTCCTCCCCACGGGCTCCTTCGTCACTTTGCAGCCTGGCTCTCTCCTGTCCGCATCTCTAGGAGACAGGAGATTGTAGAGTTCTCTAACTGGGTCCTCATCTCGGAATGAATGACAGTGCCTTCCGCTGAATCCAAGTCAGGAGGCAGGTAGCCCCTCACTGGGTAGCAGGAAGCCCCTGCCGCAAGCTCAGCACCTGCTGAGTCCCCGTAGGGCCTCAGTAGCACCTGTCTACATTCTCAGGCTCACTGTGGCACACGGCACGGAGAGAGGGCACCGTGGGCCCCAACCCCAGTTCTCCAACTGCTTCCTGTCTGTGTTTCTTTGCTAGACCTCATGTAACAAAAAAACCACAAACCAAGAAGCCTGGAACAACAGATCTGTCTGCAGGCTAGAAGTCTCAAGCAAGGTGTTGACATGGCTGATTCTGGAGATCCCGAGGAAGTTTTGTTTTGTTTTGTTTTTGAGACAGAGACATACAGTCCAGGCCAGTCTTGAACTCATTATATAACCCAAGTTGACCATCCTCCCATCTCACTGCCTGTGTGTATCACCATGCTCCTGTGCAAGAATTTTATTCCACATTTCCCTTTTGCTTCAGGAGGCTGCTGCCCAATGCTCCAATTTCCTTGGTTCATAGATGTAATACTCCAGTCTCTGTCTGTCTTTTTTTTCAATAAAATATTTATTTTTATTCACTTTCAATAAAAAATATTAAAATGGTGCATATTTATGGGCACACCATGTGATGCTCTGATAACTGCCTCTATCTTTACATGGCATTTTCCCTTCCTGTGTGTGTCTATTTCTATGCTTTTGAGGACATCAGCTGGGGGTGGTGGCACATGCCTGTAATTCCGGCACTCTTGCCTGGCTGAGGCAGCAGATTAAATATTTGAGCCCAGCCTGGACAACTTAGTGACTAAGTGAAAGCCTGTCTCAAAATTACAAATAAATAAATAAATAAATAAAAGTTAGGACATCCATCATGGTTTAGGCCTACTTTAATCCAGCATGGCCTCAGTTTAATTGATTATTAATTGATTACATCTGGAAAGGCTCTGATTCCACATCAAGTCTGAGGTTCTGGGTAGACATGAACTTTTCCTCACTCTGGTTACATTCCCCCTCCTGTCACCCTGTCTCCCTATTTTTTCCAACTTTATTGGTTTTCGGTCACCCTGGCTACCCTTGGTCAGCACAACTGGTGCCCAAGTCCTTACCTCCCCTTCCGCTGACTTCCTGTTCCGCAGAGACAGCTTCCCTCCCTCCACGTGTACACAAGCCTCCTGCAGTTCACTGAAGGAAACCACACTTGTACGAGGACTAAGACAACAAAACCTCTGTTTGCAACTGCAGCCGGACCCCTGGCAACCAGTGGTCTTCTGTGTGAAGCTGGCGAAGGTTGACCCTCTTGTCAGCTCTCCTGGCCCTCCTTGCAAGGACAGACTCCTTACTTCCTTGAGAAGGCGCACAGAGCTCCAAGTCTGACAACCCCCGCTCTGTCCTTCCTTTCGCTTATATTTACAGCACACCCCCTCTGTCCTCTGTCACAGCTGATCCGCTTCACTCTTACACTAGCCCTGCCCCTCGAGGCCCCTCCAGAGCAAGCCTATAATGTCCACACAGCTCTGCTGTCTTAAAGCAAGGCCCCCTACTATCCTATTCCCTCTATCTAGGTCTCTCTCTCTCTCTCTCTCTCTCCCTCTCTCTCCTCTGTCTTTCTGTGGTTTCTGTGGTTTACCCACCCTCTCTTCCTCTTCGCTCAGCAGCCAAAGCTCCATACACATCCTCAGGCCCACCTGGGGTGCTGACCCTCCTCTCTCTTCTCCTCTTTGGTCTCATGCTCTGTTTGTCCTCTCCAGGTGCCTGGCCAGCTTGCCATCACCATATCTTCTGCGCTCTATTTGGAGCAGGCTAAGTGCAGGGCTTCTGACCTTGCACGTCACAAGCACTCTATAAATATCTGTGGCATGCGGAGACTGTATACAGCCTAGTTCTAGGCCACACTGTGTTCCGTCAGGCCTAGCCAAGGTGTCTGTTTCCCTCATTGCAGCAACAAGTGAGGCAGGACTTTACTAGGCTGAGGGAAGAGGATCCAGTCTCCTAGGGTGTTTTTATCACTGCTGCTGCCGCCACTTTGCTTTAAGCAGCAACTGGTGCCAGTTTGGGCAGGGCAAAGAGGACCAGGAACTAAGAGAGCAGATCTCACCACGGCACCAGGCACCTCCTTGCCTCCTTGTGACTGGAAGCTTGTACGGGCGCAAGTGGCAATTGAATCTGTGGGGTTCACTTTGTGAATGGTTTTATGTGTTCTTTCTTTGCCAGCCCATTTCCTCTCCTGTATCTGTGAGGCACAGCGTTGGGACAACTCCACCTTCACATCCAAGTCTCCTTTGTTAATCTTCGGGTAAAAGTAGCCACCAAAGCCGGATGTGGTGGTACATACCTGAAATCTTAGCTCTTGGGAGGCTGAGGCAGACAGAGAGTAAATTCTAGCTCAGTCTGGGCAACTTAATGAGCCATTGTGTCAAACAATAAAAAGGGCTGGGAATATAGTTCGGTGTAAAGACCCTGAGTTCAATCCTCAGTCCTGAGAAAGAGAGAAAGAAAAAAAGAAAGAGAAAGAAAGAAACCAGGTATAGTGGCACATGTCTGTAATTCCAGCATTTCAGGAGGCCGAGGCAAGATAATCACAAATTTGAGCCCAGCCTGTGCAACTTAGTGGCTTAGAAAGAATCTGTCTTTTAAAAAAAAATCTTGGGATATAGTTCAGTGCAAAAACCCCAGTAACCCTTCCCGTCAAAAGAGTAGGGGTTCATCAATTATTAAGCAGGTACCACCCACCAGTTCTGAAGATCCTGAAAGAAGCTGGGTGCTTTGCCTACTTCTCCCTATTGTGTTTCGAACGAACCACATGATACAGATTAGAAAGAGACCTCAAGTGGGTAAATAACTTGCACAGAGTTGCAGTGCTTGCAAGTGGCAGAACACTGCCCCACGCCCTGGGCTGGATGACACCAAGGCCCATGCTTGTAGCCACACCCTAGCCTGTCTTTTTCTATTTAGCAAGATCAAGCTGCATCTTAAGTTTTCCCTCCAGTACCATGCATCGTGGCTCTGGAGTGCATTTACTGGTTATGAACTTCCTCTATGACACAATTCACCCTCTCCCCATGCAGCTTGCCCTCTAGCTATCACCAAATATATGAACAGAATAAGAGGAGTGATTAAAAGTTCCCGGAAGATGTACCTTCCCTGGATTTCCACCCAGCGTGACTAGGAACAAAGCTTGGGGCTATGGTCTATCTTCGTATCTCTAGTGTCCGTAAATATGTGCTGTGCTAAAGAGTAAGTTTTACTCTGGATTAAAACCTACAGGGAGATTTATACGTTTTTGTGGTGAAAGACACTGCAGAAATAGTTAGTGTGGATCCTCTTCTTGCTTCTCTTCCCAGTGCAGCATCACTCAAAAGTCAGCGAAGCCCAGTCCTGCACATGCCCTGGGAAGAACTCTGTCCAAAGACTGGCAGATGGTTTTGATAATCTTCACAAAGGAAGTTGGCATGGCTGGGTGTGTAGCTCAGTGGTAAAACACTTGCCTAGCACGTGGGAGGTCCTGGGCTTGCTTCTCAACGCTGTTTAAAAGTTTCCTTGAAGTTTTTATTGATAATTTAGATAAATCCTGGAACAACCTTTATTAAAAGGGGAAAAAAATCATCAAAGAGTTGAGGCAAGAAAGGAGGGCTTTGCGTGTATTTTTGTGGGAGGGATTATATCAGTCCTGGTGATTCTCCAAATAGGTCTTAAAATTTAGAGGTCATTTGGATGATATTGATCCTTATTTTTAAAAAGAAAGAGTTTATGTATTTTTTTTTTTTTTTAAAGTATGTCTGGGGGCTGGGGACATAGCTCAGCAATGCAGACTGCCCGGCAAGCGCAAGTCCTGAGCTTGATTCCTGGTACCTTCCTGCAAAAGCATTTCTGGGGACGGTGGATATAGCCTAATGGTAAAGCACATGCTTAATTTGGCCTTGAGTTCAATCCCAATAATAATAATAACAACAACAACAGGCATATTTCAGTGTGGGACACTTGCAGACAATTGTGTGCAGTATTTTTAGCAGCCTGTGGCTGCTTTTCATCTCATGACTCTGCCTGTCAGTGTCTCCCTGAGCACCAAATGCACATCAGTTTAGCTCTGTGGTCCCACCGTGCTTGTCTGGGTATCTTGGTTTATTGTCCTCTCACTCTCTAGTCTATCAAGGAGATCCTGCACAGCTTTTTGTCACAATAGTAGTTATTGGAATGGTAAAATCTGAGTGATGGTCTGGCTGCTGAACACTTCCTAAGGTCGGCTGGTTTCCAAAAAAGGACAGAAGGGGGCTGGGCCTCCATCTCCTGCCACTGAGACATCTTGTGTCAGCACAAAGCAGCCTCCCTGAGCCACAGAGGCTGTAGTTTGAGGACTTCTGGAAAGGTGGAGAGTTGCCTTGGAGCATTATTAGTGGGCACTGTTCCACAAGGAGAAAGCAATTATTAGGAACCACAAAACTGTTTCTAGTTTAAAAATAAAAAAGAGAGAAAAGCTGCAATCCCACAGAGGCTGAGACAGAAGGATTGCTATAAATTTGTAATCATCCTGGGCTATATAGTTAGTTCAAGGTCAGCCTGAGCTACAAAGCAAGACCTTGTCTCAAAACACACACACACACACACACACACACACACACACACACACACACACACCACCACCACCACCACCACCACCATCACCACCACAGCCACACCAACAACACAGTCAGAGACAAACAGATGTTTGACAATATTAAAACACAAAATAGCACAAACTAAGAATGAGGCTTTATACATTCACTCATTCATTCAACAAATGAGCCTTGAAAAGACACTGAACTAAGCCCTAGACGATGCAAAGATAAAGGAGTCTTGCCTCTTTGAATGGCTCATATTGCCTGGCCATAAGATATGGTGTTGGTAACAGTGAGACAAGCCGCAGGCTACAATGTGTTGGTTATTCTCCCCACATCCGATATGCCGGTTGGCATGGAACAGCTGCTCAGAAATGACTGTTGAGTGAACAGGAGTGGAAAGTGATAAGCACTGAAATAAGAAGCCACAACATGTGAGAGAGAAGTGCAGACCGTCAAGGCTGAAGATCATGCACTCAGTAAAACACCAAACAGTTTCCTTGATTATTTCAGAGACCGAGAACATCGTGCTCCAAAAGCTGGCTCTTCTCCTAAACAGATGACCTTGAGTGATTCAGTCTTTCTGTAGCTGAGTAAAGATTTGCAACCATCTCATCAGATCATCATATACTGCTTATACTGTATCTGTGAGTTGGGCTCCATTCCGCACTTTAAGAAAAGCAACTGGAGTTATAATCATTGTTGTTTAATTGTAAACCCTTCAAACTCCAAAGAAGAAACCAGAAAAATGTTAAGCAAACATTTCCTTTTCTGGGTAGAAATGTGGTCATTTCAAATGGGAATCACTAGTTAAATTATAACCTTACGCTGGTGTTTACCTGAGCAGCTTTCTCCTGTTGACCTTCAGGAAGCTACAATGACGTTTTAATATTTAATTTGGAAATTAATTAGCTTGTCAAGTTTTGAGAGACTTTTCATAAATATGCCAGATTAACTCCCTTCACACTTTTATAGCAAAAAAGTGACCATTAGTGAACGTATACATGATACATAGAAACTTTCCAAAGGCTGTTTGGCTATCAAAGCCCATCTCACTATTAATTTGTGCCAGGTGAGGGAAAAAAATCCCAGACTGAAATGTGGCCAGAAACCACAGTGCAGAGAAATTTAACAGGCCTCCCAGCAGAAAGTCAAAATTTAACTTTAAGATCTCAAAGCTGCTTTATAACGATCACTCAAAGCAATCAGGTAGTACAGACGCCTGGTACTATCATAGCAATTAAACAGTACATGTAAGTTTTCCTACAGAGAATTACTTTGAAGATAAATTAATTATAACTCTAAAGGTCTATGTACATTAAAATATTCTTATAGCCTGGCATGATGGCACACTTATGATTCCAGTTATTTCTCAGGTAGGAGGATCACAAATTTAAGGCCAGACTGGGCAATTTATTTATTTATTTATTTACTTATTTTGGTACCAGGGATCCAAACTCAGGACCTCATGCTTCTCAGGCAGGTGTTGTGCTGCTGAGCTATATCCCTAGGCCCAAGACTGGGCAATTTAATAAGCCTGTCTCAAAACAAGAGTCAAGCGTGTAGCTCAGTAACAGAGTTCTTGCCCAGCATGCTTGAGGTCCTGAGTTCAATTCTCAGTACTACAAAAACCAAAAAGTACAATTTATATGTTTCATTATATGATGGGTTCATTATTGAAAAATTGGGAAACATGGATAAACAAGGGGGGAAAATTCAAAATGCCATCCCAGTCACACACATAAACTTCTGCTGATTGAGACTGGCATTCTAGGGAAGAGGTAAACTCACTATGTAGTCCAGGCTGACCTCGAACTCACAGCCATCCTGCTGCCTCCATCTCCTGAGTGCTGGGAGTACAGGTATGCACCACGACACCTGATTATATACATTTTTAAATTAAAAAAAAAAAGATAGGGCTGGAGTACATCTCAGTGGCGAGTGTGTACTCATGTAGGTGGAATCTCCAGCTACACACACACACACACATACATACACACACACACACAGGGATTGTATTGTATAACAGCAAAAATAAACTCGAAAATCAGAATTTCTATTCTCATATTCTTGTACTAGAAGAAGCAGCTCTAGGAAGAGTAGAGGTGAAAGGTAAATTCTATCCTTATATCACATGTAACAATACTAATTCCTTGTCTATGTGACAATTCTTCAGTGTATA